AAATAACATCTTTACAGCGGGTAAGTAACCAGTGGCCTCCAAACGTACGTAATGTACCCTTAATACAAGAGACTGTGAACCGTGACACACATACAACAACACATATGAAACCATGTAACGTCCATGCTTTGAGCTAAAGGTGTTTGTCTCCATGTCATGCTGCCTCCCCCTGCTCCCCCTGTTTCTGGTCACTCTCTACTGTCAGCTAACTACTAGAGACAAAATGCCACAAATATAAATATGCTGTAGTAGGAATTATGGTCACGTCATTAGATGGTTGGACGGTTTTGTTTCTTGCACAACGTCTGAAGTAGAAGTAGTGTTTTCATCACACATTGGGACAAAGGACTTGCCATAGAGAATAGACTGACACTACTGCAACCACACTGTACCAACATAATTTAACTTCCAAAATAAGGTGTAGAATGTATATTAATTACACAATTTTAGTATACCATATCAAAATAAAATGTTTTAAACACCATTATAATCAGGAATCCATGGGGGGCAATACATCTGTGTAGTTTAATCTCTGTCACCCAGGTCTTAATAAACAACCCACTGGACAGACAATTGTACAACTGGAGACATTTCACTATTCATCTAGATGGAATCTATTCTGATGTCAATGCAATGGTACAACTTGCGGAAGCTCAACCATCGCCACGTAGACACAGACATTAAGAAGCCTCTTTCTGTAAAACTGAACAACTGTTAATGGTTGGTCCCAAGTCATTTTAAATGTTTTCACTTAAATTACTATTTTGTTTAAGTTAACTTACTGATCCTTAAAAACACTCACTGGATAAACTATAGCATGCATGGTGGTTGATATAATATCAAGGCTGGTGTTTGTTGTTCCTTAAAAGTTGATATTTTAAAGGGTTTAGACACAGCAACAACCTGCAAAATGTGTTTCTTATCTGATGATTATCTCCTGAAAAACAATAAATCAACCTGCTAGTGGTGTGGTACACACATTGTACAAGCTACTAGTGTCCCAGCTGGTGTATTATTATAATACATCTCCACATGCATACAACATACATGTCATTAGAAAAGATTACCACATCTAAATAAGTTAAAACAAGCCTAATTCCTCACATTCTTTAAAATGCTTTAGCATTACATGGATCCACTAAAATTAACCAGTGACAATGTTATGATAATACTCAGTGATGTGACACACATGACATGTTGTCTGTGTGTGTTACTTGTAGCGTAAGTCCAGACACAGAACAAAGGAGTTAACTGGGTCGCCTTCGCAGACTGGCTGTGCCAAACAGCTGGAGAGATGGAGAGGGAGCATGATTGAGTCATGAGGAAGGTAAGGAGGGAGGGTGAGGAATGGGCTTGAAATAGTAGTATGAACAGACCAGGTTGCGGGGGGGGGGGGGAGTAGGCAAAGGGGAGAGGTATTACCCTGATAGCTACTCATTAACTTCACAACAAACTCAATAAAGTATGTGGCTATTCATCTTAAAACAGTCCAAAAATAGCATACATGGAAATCAATATGTATGATTCCATTTTGCCAGATGACAGAAAATGAGTCCACAGTAGTGGTGCTGCCTGGTATCTGGCTGTATACTGTGCGAGTGCCTGTAAATATTACATGCTGCAACACTGGCTTTCTCTCACTAAATGTGCAAGCTGACTCCTGAGCATCTCTGCTGTAGAATAATAAAGTGATAATGCCCGCCACTGGACCAAAATCAGTTTAAGTTTCACAATTTGAAGGCTGTGTTCTAATCCACAACCCATAACCATATAACTAGAGAATGGTCCAAAGGCTCAGACATGTTATCAGACAGGGAACCATACTGCCAGACATTCATGCGTTGTGTTAACTCTGCGAGATATTTTATTTATGCCCCCAAACTGAATTTGTCAGCAGCCAGCAATGGTGACTTGGCTGGTCATTAATGTAAGCTACCTAGCTGTTAGCTAACATGCATTGTAGCATATTCTCTTTCACCGCCATCACGAAGTGTGAATTTACAATCAACGGTCGCTGTTAACCTAAAGACTGTCGCTTAGCTTATCTGCCTCGCAAATCAGCGCGGCATTGTTCTTTGTACGAGTGCTTTAAAGAAACGCGGAAGCGTGTTCACATTTTCTTTTATATCACCACTATAACCAGCTCTGCCTGTAGCTAACCGGGTAGCCAAGGAGCTAGTAGAAGCCCCTGTGGTAGTTATATCGATGTTATATCAAGACATCGCTCGGTTGCTTTGTGGTCACACACAGGACCAATTAAACACCAACCGACACAGCACTAATGCGACATAAACGAACAGTACCTTTTCTGTGTCGACCCTGGCGACTACAGGATCATTTCCTGGCACGGGTTCTTTGTTTATGTGATTAAATGGCTTGTTTTCATCAATCCGTCTCGTCTCTCTCCTCCAGGAGTCGTACCGCCCCGGCTGACAGCGCTACTGCTCAGGATGACAGCGCTCCGCCCTTAGCAACCAATCTGAAGCCGAGGTTCTGGAAACTGAGGCAAAGCTCGTTCCCTATTGGTTGGCGGCTGTGTCCATCATCGTGTCGCAAGGGGCGCACCTTGGTCCAAGGGCAGGACACCTGCTACTAAAGGATGCTGAACGCCGCAGGTGCGGTAAAATCAAGTGATGAAAGAGCCACACACTAAGATTGAAAAGACATGTTGTTAGCTTCACAATGGAGGCGTTTACCACAGGCAGCTGCACAAACAAACGACTACATCAAATAGCCAGCTTCTCTTGAGCTTGCATTTGTGTTGTGTTTTTTAAATATCATTAAATAGCCTCGGCCACTTAATGGGCTTGCTATGCACACCAAATCTGCACTTTAATGAAATAAGGTTAGCATTTTCCAATCCACATATTGTTAATATTCATACTTTAAGGACCCTTCAAGACAGGACTTTGAGGTGTGCAGGAAAGATTTTAGCTGACCCCTCCCATCCCGGTCACAAACTGTTTCAGACACTCCCCGGCAGGAGGCTGCGGTTAACAGTACCAAAACCTCTCGCCACAAGAACAGCTTCTTTCCAACCACAGCTGGGCCCCCTACAATACATACCGTAAATGTCTTTGAAATCTAATGTTAATATTTTGCATATCTCTGCACAAATTGCCATATTGCACAAAGTCATTATTATTCTTTTATATTTTGTCTATATTATATTTATTATATTTGTCTATATTGTATTTATATTTACATAAATACAGATACTCTCCTACTCTGTAATATGTCTGCACAAACCCGGAGTAATCTACATGTAAATATCTGCTACATTGTTTTTCTCTACACATAGTTCAATTATTCTTTTATGACTTACTTATATTTTATTATTTATGTCTGTCTACTTGTAGCACCTTATCACCCTAGCAAATTCCTTATACATGTAAAATATTACTTAGCAATAAATCTCTGATTCTGAAAATCTCTTTCAGGCATACACTATGAGTGTTTTTATGTAACTTCTATCACTTATTTAGCCTGTATCTTTTTTATTATTTAAATGTATCAACCCACCTAGTACAACTTGTGTTAATGTTTAACATGTAATCACATGTTCCAGTCCAAAGACAGGCAGGCTAGGTTAGTTGGGGACTCTAAATTGCCCTTAGGAGTGGATGTGAGTGTGAGTGGTTGTTTGTGTGCCCTGTAATGGACTGGCAACCTGTCCAGGGTGTACCTTTCACCCAATGTCAGCTGGGATTGTCTCCAAAATGAGACAAGAGTTCAGAATTTCAGCTTTTATTTCCTGGTATTCACATCTAGATGTGTTAAACAACTTAGGACATATCACCGTTTGTATTAGACCACAGCATTCTTAGGTGAGCAAAAGTAAAGGAACAAATAATCTTAAAGAAAATAACATTTAATATTTGGTGGCATAACCCTTGCTTGCAATAACTGCCTTAAGCCTGTCGGCCCATCGGTATCACCAAACTGTTGCATTCTTCATTTGTGATACTATTCCAGGCTTTTACCGCAGCTTCTTTCAGTTCTTGTTTCTCCCTTCAGTCTCCTCTTAAGGAGGTGAAATGCATGCTCTATTGGGTTAAGGTCAGGTGATTGACTTGGCCAGTCTTCCACTTTTTCCCCTGATGAAGTCCTTTGTTTTGCTGGCATTGTGCTTTGGGTCATTGTCCTGCTGCATGATCAACTTCCTCCCGATTAGTTTCAATGCATTTCTCCGTAAATTGGCAGACAAAATGTTTCTGTACACTTCAGTCTGGCCTTCTTCCTGCTGATGAGTGGTTTGCATCTTGTGGTGTGGCCTCTATATTTCTGCTCTCTGAGTCTTCTTCCAACAGTGGATTGTGATACCTTCACCCCTGCACTGTGGAGGTCGTTGGTGATGTCACTTACTGATGTTTTGGGGGTTTTCTTCACAGCTCTCACGATATTTCTGTCATCAATTACTGTTGTTTTCCTTTGACCGACCTGTTTGATGTCTGTTGCTCAGTACACCAGTAGTTTCTTTCTTTTTCAGGACTTTCCAAATTGTTGTGCTTGCTATGCCCAATGTTTGCTTGCTTTTCTCCCATAGACAGCTCTCTGGTCTTCATGTTGGTTTATCCTCTTTAACAGGAAATGCAGTCTTTATAGGTTTGAACCAAGGATGAAAACTTCCACTAATCATGCAGAGCAATTTAATGTTTGGACAATCAACCTAAAAGGCAACACCTGGGCAACAACATCTGTCAGTCACATCTTCCAATAGTTTTGCTCACTTGAAAAATGGGTGGGTTCAAACAAAGGGTGGTATGTCCTGAGTTGTTTAACACATCTAGATGTGAATACAAAGAAATGAGAGCTGAAATTCTGAACTCTTGTCTTATACTAATCTTTTGATCTTAAACCCAAATGTCTTCAGTGAACAACAAAAACAAAGGAATTTGCCTTACTGTTACAATACTTTTGGTGGGGACTGTATAACAACTAACAGATCTGATGAGGTTATATGAGCATATGGCTCACAAAAAAGGGCAAAATATTTGTTGTATTGTTGTTGTCTTTTTATTATTTCTGTCAAAGAGCCATTTCCAAGGGGAAACCAATAAACACAAAATTCACCAACCAGACTCCAAAAAACACAATGATATACAGAACTTACACAGAGAAGACGGTACAACAGGACAGTAACAATAGGAAATGATAATCCTTATTTCATCAGAGGAGGTTCCACTGCTTTGTATGTTTTGCAGAAACTTGTATGTACAATCGTCTTTTTCCACTATCTGGATGTTGATAGCTGTCATTGAATTTAAGCAACTGTTTAAAGAGAGCAAAAACATAGGCATGTTATATATCAGTATAAAAAAGTATAAATAGAAACATGATCCAAAGTTCAAAATAGTTCAGGTGACGTCTGACAAGCACACTGAAAACAAAACTGAATTAAACAAATGTCTCATGTATTGGATGAGGACTGGATGTATTAAATGCAATGTGACAACCAAATGTTTTAATCCAGTCCAGGTCAGTCACATATTAAGGGGGTTAGGGTATCAAGATTATTTTGGTTCAGATTCATAATTAGTGAGAGCACATACTGTCCATGCCGATAGAGTACACAATACAAAATGGCATGTAACCAACAAGGGGGAAAAAATCATATGACACCTATTATACCAAAACAACATAGAAAATATGGCAAAAATGGGCGTCAGATTACGGTCAGTGAAGAGCAGGAAGTTAGCCGCTGCTACACAACTGATGCAAAACATTCAGTGATTGTCGACGGTTGAGTCTCTTTCTTGTGTTTTTCTCCCATTGACTGGTTAGCAATATTTAATGTGCTATTAAACGTTTTATTTTTTAGATTTGTTGCATAAAATAAATAACATTTGTGACATTTTTTTAATATTTTGTACAATATGCTAAAATCCATATTCACTCCTTCATTTCTACCTTTCTGTGAAGAGGAGGTTCTAGGAAAGGGGTATTACAGAAGGAAATCACATTTCACTAATCAGGAAAGCCAATCAACAACTGATCAAGACAAATTACCAGAAAGAGAACAAAAGCAAAAACAGGGAGCAGAGAGCAGAAATACAGAGGCTTTAAGCAGAGAGCTTAACAAATGAACACCTTGAATTGTGTTATTAATTTTCTTCTAAATTGTGTCATAGAATATATCAAAATGACATGTAAAATTGACTTTGCACTGCAGTTTAAGTGGTAGATGAAATCTGAAATCTGTGTTCCTTTTTGTGCACATTAAATGAAAATGAATACAACTGCATTATGATTCCATAAACCATGTTTGTGCTACACTTTGTGCACTCCAAGAGTCATTCCTTGTTTTTTGAGTGAAAACATTAATCCTTGAACCCACTTCCCAGCTCAGCGTCTGATGAGCATTACATCTGTGAGCTTCGCCCTCAAGTCACTCCATAGAAAAACAGTGTCTGTGAGATAAGGGAGATATTTGGCTGCATGTCTCCCAGCGTCCTCTCCTGCTCGAGCTCAATCATCTGACGAAAGGGTCATTTAAGTAAAAAGTGACATATGTGAGATACTTTTCTTGCTTAAGACATTGAAAGTCCATTGTGATCGTCCTCAGGGTGGCATTGAGATGTACAGTATAATTATGCTGGTATTTATTCTTTCATTTATCTCCTCTTCTTTGTTAGTCCAATTATATATCCTCTCATGGAACAATATCAAATGTATAGCCACATAAGCATGCAAGCATCGGAGTGACTGTAGCTCTAGAAGTACAGTAGTATCCGCTAATCGTGCGGTTGGTGGTTGGATCCTTGGCTCCTCATGCCTACATGTCGTAGTGACTTAGAGCACTGGAACCCGAAAGTGCTTCCTGTGTGGATGCATGGGGGGGGGGTGCGAGAAGCGTAAACTACTTGGCACAAAAGCATCTAATTATGGTCATTTTTACACGTGTCAGAGCATGATGAGGTTGATTGTTAATCTTGGTCCACCAGGAGGTCAGTCTTGGCAAAACATGCTAGTGCTACATGTAGGAGCCTAAAGAAGTAATCAGCAATAGGCCCTCGACCCGTAGTTTACAAAGCGGCCAGGAGAGCTCCGGGCCTCCCTCAGGCGTAGCGGGGATCTGCGGCGGTCAGTGACACCCGCTGGAGGTAGGCTGGGGTCTGGTAGCAATGAGACCTTTGCGCCTCCATGTACATTGTGGTGGAGGTGAGGCTTTTGCGGTCTTTTTTCAAGACATGTCGTCTCTGCCAGCGACAGAGTAAGAGTTCCACCTGCTCTCTGAAGAAGCTGGTGGTCAAGGTGTAAAGGATGGGGTTCAAGGCACTGTTGATGGGGAGGATGAAGATGACTACCCAGCTGGAGATAGTGCCTAAAACCAGAAGAGGAGCAAATATATCCACATGTTAAAGCAGTGCGTGCCTTTGGATGCTTTTTCTTCCGTTATTCCATAGTCAAAGATTCAAATAGTAGAACACTGTGTAAGGGTGACCTAGTGATTTATGACATGTTTAAATAAAGCAAATATAACTGCTACACTTTACGTGGATAGTCCGTCTACAGATATTTTATAGAGAATTTGTAACATTTAAAGTGTTTTGCTTTGTCTGTAGATGTTTATTAGATTATCAATTAACAGATTATCAGATCATGTGTGAGAATTTATGAACAAGTCTTAAAATAGATTGTAACAAGCTGAAATGTCACAAATTCTCAATGAAGTATCTGTAGGCGGACTATCCGAATACAGTGCAACCAATATAACCTTAAACACAAAGTACCATTTCATTCTTACCAGGTATCTCCACCTCCATTAGTGAGAGGACTTTCACCAAAAATATGGGAATCCAGCAGAGGGCATCAGAGAACACTATGAAGAAAAACCTGTTGGCCACAGCCACATCTCTGTGCAGTCTGCTCCTCACGTCTGTGGCGTTGATGCCAGTTTTATAGATGGAATAGAACATGCTGGAGTAGGAGAAGACGATCACCAGGAATGCCACCAGGTTTAGACCTAAAGAAATGCACATGCTATTCACACACATAAATGCAGTGGTGGGAGAAGTATTCACTTCCTTTACTTAAAAATGTAAAAACACTTAAGTAAAAGTATAATAGTACCATCAACAAAACATACTTAAAGTGTCAAAAGTATATGTTCTCGTTTTGCGTCTTCATATGGAGTTCAATAGTTTAGTCCAGTGGATCCCAACCTAGCGGTCGAGTCACTTGCAAAGGGTCACAAGATAAATCTGAGAGGTCGTAAGATGATTACTGGGAGAGGAACAAGGAAAAAAACAAAGTTCTTTTTTTGGACTTTTCTAAACTTGTTTTATTTAGGGACATAAATACAAATCTAAATCTTATTTGAGTGCGAGGGCGTGGTTTTGAGGGAAAGCAAAACAAAATCTGAATATGAGATCAATAAGTCATGAGCTCAAATTTAAAGACCATCCTCTTGAATAAATATAGAAAAACAGTCCCATCTAGACACATTTTTTTTGTAAGGGGTCACAAGCCAAAATCGATCGAGACCACTGATTTAATCTTTAACAATGCATTGTATTTTTATAAGCTTACACTTTTATATGCATGCGCCTACACACAGATTTTCCACAACAAGAGGGAGACACACCATGGTAAATGTTTAACAAAATATATTTATTTAAACCAAAATCAACCAAATTAAGGCTGGTGCCAAAGTAAAGGTGATAAAGTATGGGTCATGAGCATCAGTGTTTTCAGTCATGTCAGGGTAGGATGATGGATGCATGGAAAATGTGTGTAAGGGTGTTGTAACGTGCAAGAAACAACTAAAACAGCATGTCCAGAAACAAAGGCTAAGGTGGAACCTGTGGAAGAAAACAGAAAGGAGTAAGTTAGCAGGGAGATCTGTGTCCTCAGCTCAGCAGCATCATCCCTAAAAATGAGAATAAGGCGTTACAAATACTCTACAGGGCAATAAGCCCAAGTGCCCAGAGTTTCTGCAATCAGTCTCAGCGCTTCACCTGAAAGAGATAGACACTGGCCACGCCGACACACAGGGCATCAGAGCATGCACTCTGAAAGAAAAGCTGGTGATGAATAACAAACATGTGGCACCTCATGAATTAATTCACAATATTCTTATTTTAACAGCCAAGTGATGTAAATGCTGCCCCAGCCTTCAGACAGAATATGCCCAGAATTTATAAATCCCTGTTGCCAGTGCTCAGTGAGAACATTGAGTAATAAGAACACAGACTAATCATTTACTGTTGATGGAGCCATGGTGTTTGCAATTTAATGGCCTGATCCAAGGTGCAATGCCCTTCTCTGTTCTGTTAGTTGGTTGTGTAATAATGCTGCTCAAAATGTGATCAGATCACTCTTACAACTTTAAAGATCAAAAAAATAAAGCTGCATCAAATTTCATCTGCACATCCTTACATACAAATAATGCAAAATTAATAAAAAACGTAATTCAGTGTAATATGTCTCCATGATAAACAACAGCATGTCTTATTGTATTTAAAGCTAGGTATTTAATCGCAGTGGTTAGTGCATCTGATCACTCAGTGTTCTTTTTAACCTTTCACTGATTGGATTAAGAGGATTTCACCACTTCTCAAAGATGTGTATTATATGTATGTAATCTATACTGTGTACTGTGAATATACAGTATATTATATTGTCAGGCATACACTAGCCTACACTTAAATTTAGACTACTGATTTTAGGAGGTTTAGGAGGTTTTTAGAACATTGCTATGTATGAGTATTCACTGTAAAATTTGTTGCTGTTTTTTTTTCAATTTACCCAGAAAAATCCCTGTGGAATATCCTTTGGCGGTAGGTTTTTCTTGCCTGTCAGAGTGCAGGGGAAAACAGACTCCATTACGTCCATAGTAGTTTCCAAACACGTCCTCATTCATTAGGGGCACGGCAGCGATAATGAACCCCAGTAGCCAGATAGAAGCCAGGATCACCTAGCAGCGGGATGACAAATATGCTGTTAGGATTTCTGTTGCTCTTCAAAGTCCACAGTGAAAAATTATTTAAGCTAATTGATGACTCATTGGATGTCCACACTTTCATTACCTAATGATTACTCCAAACATTTACTTCAGTGTAGATGGAGGCCTCCCCATCTACACTCTCTAGAGAAAGAAAACAGTAGGTGGCAGAGCTTTCTCACAGAGCAAAGAGACCCTCTCTCAGTCAGACATCAAGGATACAGAAGCATTTAGATTTAGTTGGATTTGGCTGAAAATGCTCTGCTCTTTGAGGGAGCTCTCAAAGAATCCAAGCAGCAATAAGGACTATGCTGGAGAACTATTCCGCCATAACAAACGTGAACATTTGATCTAAATTAAACAATAACAAAAATATGGGACATAATGAGGAGGATGGGGCAGCGGAGAAAGCTGTGGAAGCAAAATGATTTGACATCAGCTGAGTAATAGTGAGAAGTGTCAGGTTCACCTGGAATATAATTGTACCCGTCTAGTCAGCTGTGAATGTGGCAGTGATTATAAAGCATACATGAAACAGCTGTTCTGCTTGAACTAACACTATGCTTTATACATGTATCACTACTCTGTTCTCTTCATTATTTGCTTGATCATTTATATCACTTTATGTCACATTAAGCATTTGAAGAGCTACAAAAAAGTGACTAAGAGGTACTCAGATGAATTTTTGATTCCTTCCTGAAGGGTTGAAAGTGTCAAACATAAACAGCAGTTTTAATGAGTATCTTCATTAATCTTTTAATCTCAATCCTAACAAAGAACCCCTTTAAATGACTTAGTTGTAATGTAAAATTATTGTAATTATGTTAACATAAAGGTGGCAACGCTGAAATGCTTTTGCATGAAACAGGTTTTCTAGCTCTACCTCAATTAGGATCTGCTCAGCAACATAATGTGTCTATTTTTGGCAAAGGCCATAGAGTGTTTCATACTGAGTGCACTGGCTGAGCGCTCAGCAGAACACTTTTCACATTTCCTTTTACTGAAAAACTACTACAGCATAGCAAATCAAATATTTTTACACCATAAAGTTGTAGGATTACTTTACACAGCAAACAACGGAAGTGAGCAGTAAATTCTGGTGTTGCTTCTTTGGAGATATCCTATATAAAACAGCACAAACAACAAGAGGATCCAATTAAATTAATCTGAAAATGCTAAGACATCCAGCAGACAAATTCCTGTACTAGTACTAAAGCTCACCCCAGTCTGAAGTTTGCCTGGGCGCAGATTGCTGAAGGGGAAGACAATGACCAAGAACTTCTCCAGAGTCAGGTAGGTCAGGAGGAGGACAGACACCTGAAGGAAAAAACTCACTAAAAATCTTAAAGGAACATATTTTTACTCTAACTTCTTACAGTACCACTACTGCCAACAATTTCCCAAAGCATACCCAGAGCCGGCTGAGCCACTAAGCGACCTTTGCAGTGGCATAGGGCCCCATGGCCAGCAGAAGGACCTCTACAGTGACTGCTTGCTAGTGGTGGAAAAGAAATCACTGAAAACAGACAGCGAGACCACTGAAGACAGCTCTCTATATTATGCACCATTATAAGCATAGTGGTTATTCACTTTAGTTGTATACTATGGAAAATCAGCTTGCTCGGACCTCCTTGTGACTCCTGACACACCAGAGCCGGCTGACCCTGTGACGTCACTCGTTATGCTGGGTCAGTCAGGCTTGATGTGCGACAAGAGAAGATCATATTTGTCTGGACATGTAAAAAGACAACAGAAGAGCCTCGAAGAAGAGAGGAGTCAAAAAGATAAAGGTAAGTAAGCCCACAGGCTCCGTTTTCTTATGCCTGTATTTTTAGATAATCTGAATTTAAGGTCTTACATCAGTCATGCTGGTATTATTAACAGTGCTAACGCTATACTTGCTAACATGCTAACCGCGATTAGCATCACAACTTTTACAAACTACATAAAATTGGTATAGTAGTAGTATTATACTATAGTATAGGATTAAATCTTATTATTAAAATTGATTAAGTTAATATTGTTATTAGGACATAGATCTTTTTCAATCTTTTATCCATCTACATTTATCCATTTAGCTGACGCTTTTATCCAAAGGGACTTACAATTGCTATACATGTCAGAGGTCGCACGCCTCTGGAGCAACTAGGGGTTAAGTGTCTTGTTCAGGGACACATTGGTAGATGGGTCACAGTGGGGAATTGAACCCACACTCTCACACCAGAGGCTGAACCGTGCGGAGGGAGGTTGGGGGGGTATTTTCATGACCAAATACAACATGTTTTCTCACAAATCGCACTCTGCTATGGCCTCCTGGACAAAAAGAGGATCCATATGAGGATTTGTAAGTAAAGCGCATACGGATCAGGCTGACAGACAGAGGGAGAGGAAAAGAGGTGTGTGAGTAGCCATTTCCTGTGAACCATCTACTAATAATAATGTTTTTAATTTTCAATTCAGGTTTCTATTTCATAATAAATTCCACAAAAAATAATTGTTGTAGTTATTACACTATTACACCACCATTACATTTTTCCTGTCGTGCACCCCCTAGAGGCAGCTCATGTACCCCCAGGGGTGCATGCAGCACACTGTGGGAATTGCTGATCTAACACATATACAGTCTATCTAACATTATCTTTGGAGCTGAGCTTTTCAAATCTGGTATTATAAAGCATTTAACAGAACAAAACCAAATAGGCCAGGTTTGAACACGGTCATGTCACCCAAGAAGCTAACGCTGCTGTTAAGTTATGTGTTGGAGTTCAACCTATAGAGATGCCCTGTCCTTCGATTATAAATCCAATCTGTCATGTGAGTGTGTAGTAGCTGTTTTAAAGGACTGATTATTGAGCAACATCATGGAGCTCCTCCAAAGCTGCCAGTGTTTAAAGGACATCTTATCTAAAGTCACTTTTTAAAAGCAGACAGCATCAAACTCTTGCAGATTGTCCTGCATTATAAGATCCTCCAGATCTAATGCTAAGAACACAAGTCATTTCAGTTCAGTCAATTTATTTATTTATTTTTATTATTTCATAGCAGGTCCATCAGCCTCCACCTCTACCTCCATCATTGGTGTCATCCAAGAAGCTGACAGTGCTGGTAAGTTTAGGCCTACATCAGCAATAACTAAACAATTATTCACCTCTAGGAACACCCAGTGTATGAACATGTCAACTTACTAAAATTACTTATTTTCTGTGTTAATCTTCCTCATAGGTCTACCTGTGCCTACTGAAGTGGAGGGCAGTACCATCGTGCTTACTGCCACACCTGCCTCTCCAGTTACTACTCCTCCAGTGGATCCAGCTGACTGGCCATCAGTCCCATTACAATGACCCATTTTTTTAAATATTTGAATCTATCTAAAATGTATATCTACATCCATGTTTGCTTGCTAGCAGTCTTCTTCTTCACTGCCTTTGCTGGCACATTACTGCTACGAACTGTAGCTAAATACTGTGAAACTGACAGCAGCAGTGTATATCGTGCCGCCCTGTGCACAATACAAACAAAACAAGGACCCACACATCATATGAGTGTGCGGACTGACTGACCGACTGCATATAGTTTGCATATTTATGTATGTGTGGCTGTGAGTGGAATGTTTATTGATATTACCCTAAGTTACCTCTGAGGAGAGCATGGCCAGGAATCCAATGGTCCGACACTCCACACTATCCATCCAGAGCAGGGCGTTACGATTGTACTGCCCACGAAATTTTACATCGAACACTCCAACAAAAAACAGGTACACACCCATGAGACAGTCTGCACCTGAATGATAAGAGAAAGTGACATACATGAGCCCACTTACAGAGAAATGTGCTCTGGGTGTGTTTGCTGAATGAGTCCATCTGGTACATCCTGCTGGCACTTCCTGCAGCTAGACTCCAAATTTCTCATTAAAATACACACCACAGTACTTTATTTCTACCCTCCAGAGAAGACAAGAGTAATCAGTTGCATGGGTGAAAGAGAGAGAAAATATGTCAGTCATTGTTTTTTTACCTTTATTTATTCAGGGGAGCTTCACTGAGAGAAAGCCTCTGATCACATTCACACTGTTACACATTCAGTACAACTACACTGGCCACTAAGCAGCACTGGAGCAGTTGGGGTTATGGGCCTTGCTCAAGGTATTGAGGGAGGGCAAGCACTACTTGGTTTACTTTCCACACACAGATTTTATCCTGCCAGTCCGGGGACTGAACCGGCGATTTCCCGGTCACAAGCTCACTTCTCTAACCTTTGGGCCCCCACTGCCCATTTGATGGCTGATTTAAGGACACAAGTAAGCCAACATGACTAATTTTTTAAGCCTATTTTTAGCTTTCCTGCTGACAGACTACCCATTTTGGATTTAAAAAAAAGGAAAATAGAGGGTGTTCATGCTACAGTATAGTTTGAAATGATAAGTTCTGAATAAAGGTGAGATAGCATAGCAAAGTGAGTGAAGCCTGGAGGTGGAACAAAATGCAAAAGGGGAGAAGAGGAGCAAATGACAGAACAAGAGTCAGAGAGTGACGGTGTTATATAAGTAAAGCTTACACAAGAGTTCAAAAAAAGAGAATTGACTGAGAACACAAAAATGAGAAAGCAGAGAAGAAACAAATGGTGCACAATGAATGAGAGAAATCAAATATCAGTTAGGCAGTAGATAGAAGGATTTATTTTGGAAAAACCCACTTCCATACCCGTTAAAAATGTTCAGTCTTTTGCTTGCCTTTGTAATTGTTGAAATGCGACTTCTCATGGCTGGTTATTTTGAAAAGAATCTTGATAACACCTATAATCCTTTTTAAAGCTGAAGGGTTTTTTTTTAACGTTTGATCTTACCCAATATATGAAAAATGACATAGAGATGTAGCTCCCTTAGTGACCTTGTGGTGGACTTTCATACAAGGCATAAAAACAAGCAAACCTGAAGATATTTGCATTTACTTTAAGATCATTTGAGTGTTTCGTTTGATGTTAACACTCCCTCAGTCTTTATCATAAGGTGTGTTGCTCTTGACTCAAATATATATTAAACAGCTGACAACAATGAGTACAGTCATTTTGACATGCAGTGACTCAATTAAACATGTAATGGCAACAATAATTGTAAGAATAACAAGTTCACTAGAACACTACACTATCTTTGGGCACTTAAGCCAAAGAGAGCAGTGGAAATTATATGAGCCACTAAACTCTACAGTTCCCCGAAGCACTAATCTCTTCCTCACTGCAATTTAGAATAATAAGAGGATGCAATAATTGGATTTACTGTGACAAAAGATTGTATTAATTACAAATCCATTAGTTCCCCCTCTACTATGTTAGCTTCTGAAGGCTAGTTGACCTGTGCCATTATGTGTTCACTTCATCATCTCCTGAAAATTAAAAGAGAGCAGCGATCCAAAGGTCTGGACCCAGGCCACTTGACTCCATCACACAAGAGTCACATCTATAGATCTGATTTTTCTTTTGTTTAATTTCTGTGATTTTTTCAATACCACATCTAATTTTCATTGAAATTATTTTTAAAGAGGTAACATTATGCTCATTTTCAGTATCATAGTTTTATTTTGGGGTTGTACCAGAACAGGTTTACATCTGTTCATTTTTCAAAAACATCCATTGCTGCAGCTCCTCTTTTCACCGTGTGTTGAACACACATTTTAGCAATGGAGTGAAGCATCTCACTTCTATTTGATCTTTGTTGGGAGTTGCATATGCGCAGTACCTAGTTAAGGACTACTAGCCAATCAGAAGCAGAGTAGGGCGGGTCCTGAAAAGCCGTAACCTGGTTCAGCTTTGATTCAGCTGTACGTGTTCACGATCAGCTTTGCAATGTAGACTGGAATGACAGTTTGAGAGTGGTAAGTTATTAATTTGTAACAAATGTATCTTTTATATGTAATGCTTTAACTGTGCACTGTCTCTACATCACAGAAACAACAGCTGGAGGGTATGTAACGTTTCGTAGGGAGGGTGGGGCAGATGCCTTGTCACTTTGTGTGCTGCAGCTCAGTGTTTTTGAATGCATGCCTGACAAGCCGCTAGTATGAAGCATTATGAAGCATGTTACAAAGTGAAGCAGATAGGTTGCGGAAGTAAAGGCTGGACTACAATCGAGCTGTTTTCAGGCAGTTCAGGAGCAGTGTTTTCTGTGGGAGGTGGGAATTCCCTTTGGGGTGGACTTTGGGCTTTATCACTTTGCAAACCTATTACATGCACAAAAAAGATATATAACATTTTTGTTAGGGTTTGGTTTACTTCTACCCTTACATGCAGAGTGGAATGCTACATTTTATTCTTGTATTTCTGTATTTGTGCATAATACACCATAGTTTTGTGAGAGTACAGTGTGTGGTTACTCACAACAGAGGACTTTGATGCAGGCAGCATGCAGGTTGTTCTCTGCTCTTATCAGTGATCTCATGCCGATCACTAAAAGGTTACCAAAGCAGGTGATGAAAGCCATGACCCAGACAGACACCCGCAGCACCATGTTAGCCAGCAGGTCTTCAAAGGAAGAGATACCATCTGTGTTGGGTTTACAGGACCGGACATGAGGTGCATAGGAGCAGTACTGGAACGTCTTAAAGTAGCTGGTAGAGAAAAGGAGGAAATAAAAATAGAAGGTGGTAGCAGATGAAACAAGGGAGAAAGACAGCGTTAGACAAACAATGACACATACTGTTGAGATAAACAGATGAAGACACATCATGTTTGGTTATTCAGTGGTGTGTTATTAGTGTGATGATTGTCATACTTGTGTAGTACAATACGTACATATGGGAAAGGTTCTTCATAGGCAGGAACATATTCGCCTGAATATCTGGGATCTCCATCCCCTCCAGCGCCCTACAGAAAACAAAGCATTCTTCACCACCGCACGGGCTGCAGCAAGCAGTTTCTTTGAGTGTGTGTACTCACAGAGACTGAAGATGTATCAGGTGGTTGAAGTGGCTGGGGTGAATGTTGAGAAGGGGATTGAAGGAAATATTTCTGCAACGCAAAACAGATGATGATAGACTTAATAAAGCCCGCCTGGGTGAAATGTTGTAATGCATGGCTAAATTACTGTAAAATCCCATTAAATGGCGACCTGTATAACATTAATCAGTAATAAATATAGTATCCAGATTTTTTTGGATGGCATTGTTGTAAGTTTTGGATTCATTTTATTTCTTTTACCCATTTACCTGCTATACCCGACATTAATGCAGTGCTGTAGTACACTGCATATTAACGAAATAGAATGAAAATGTCAAAGTTGCTACAACAAAGAGTACTAAACAAAAAGTATGTCTAATAAAGTTGATAAAATGTTGGTTAAAACATTATTTTGAGCTTTGAGTTTCCACCCTGATGAGCCACTCTAGCCCCACTCATCCATCAAAAGTACTTCTGTACTAATACCTTTTCGTACTTAAAGTATAACGTACTTTCTGTTATATTTTTTGTTGTTTGTTTGCAACAAGGCATCTATCTCTGTGCAATTCAAATCCTACTCTGATTTTAGATTTTATGTTTCTTCCTCATGTTCTCAAAATGAATTCCCATCTGACTATTTCTGAAGTGATACCATTTGTCTGTACTTCATTATTATGTAGTTCACGTTTAGCTTAGCAGTATTGGTTTGCCCATATTGTGGCTTTAAACTAAAGTTTGTTTGGCAGTTTGGCCAATGTTGAAAGACACGGACGGACACAACCTTCTTTTTACAAATAAGGCTTGAGTAACAACAGTCCCTTTACAAGGCAATATGACTAAGCTATTGTTGCTTTGAATGTGACTTCAGGGACATTTAAATCACAAACCGCCAGTGCTGCTGGCACAAACATCAGTCCTGCAGATCAAACAGATGTTCAACGTGAAACAAAAGTGTGTGCCTCCAATATATCAGTCTCTAGACTCGTTATTCTAGCTATTCACTAATGGTTACCTACAACCAAGCAAACGCTAAGATCACATCAAATTTTGGCATCCCACACATTTAATAAAAATGGAGGTGCAGGATGTCCTTGATAATAGTCTTACCATTTGTCCAGGTCAGGTTGGGATATGGAAAATATTGCTCCAAAAGAATCTCAAAGCAAGAGTGGGTTGGCTCCTGTCCTGAGCAAAATGTCAGTGGTTTCATAGATCAATTAAGAAACTGGCAACAACCTTGTCTCTTTCTATTTCTTTCTTTCTGCATGTGTCTTTACTTGTGTTGTGTGCATGTGTATCATATGTGTGTGAATTTTACTGGCTGTTTTCTCTGTGTGGGTATTTTATCACCATCATGTAAAATTTTAAGTGGTTGAAAAGCTTTGACAAAGATTCTTAACTCAGGACAGGAAAGAGAGAGAGAGACAAAACATTGATGAATATAATGTTGATGCACTAACCTGTTGGAAATTTTGTATCAAGCAATGTGAGCTGCCTGAGATGAAACGTTAAAGTAATATATATGTATGTATTGTGGAGATCCTACTCCACATTTTGTTTTGAACAAAAGTCTTTCTAAGAAATGTTGAAGTATGTATTCAAATTAAAGGCATGGTAAAATAAATATTCACTTTAATGAGCTCGGCAGATTGATATCATACTTTATCCCTGTCAAATTTTAGAGTAAGCTGAAACAGACAGCAGCACAGTTGTTAACTCTGGGCGCTGTCCAATCTGAAACCACACATCCAATCCACCAATTACTCTTTAACCCCATGTAACAGCTGAACAGACCACACATAAACACATACAAACTACATTAAAAGCTTTCTGTCAAGATAGTTCAAACTTTCTGTGAAACTGATTTTTAAGTTGATTTAAAGCGGGAGAGTTTGACTACGTTTGACAAGCTACTGTAACTACTCTATAAAACAACTCTGACATTTAATTAACTGAAAGTAATTTGTTTTTCAAATGTTCTAGACACTAATGAAAGAGACTGTTTTATGGGTGAAAATGGACAGACTATGAGTCACAAATATGGATTACAATTTGTAAACACAAAATATGTCATGACCTGGCTGTGCCACCTCTTCTGCCCTCATGTTTTCCTCCGTCCCTTCCCTTATCGTTCCTGTCAGTCTTTGTCTAGTTTGTGTATGTGTGTGTGTGTGTTCAAGTTAGCACCAGATCGTCCGTTTACCAACAGTGGTAACTAGCGCTAAGGCCCAACTCTAGCGTCTTGTTAGAAAGAGTTTGTTGATCAAGTCTGTGACCTCGCTGACTGCCTGTGTTTTTCCTTTTCCTCTCAGATCTCGCTCTGTTCGTAAAGACACAGCTTGCCTGCCCCGCTCTGTGTTCTTGGAGCTTGGTTTCCCTCAGCCTGCCCGCACCCACCTTTGCACATTCTCAACCTGTCAATAAACTGTCCTTGTATGGAATAACCCGCATTGTGTCCGCTTTTGGATCCTCTAAGCTGCTCATAACAAAATATGATCTACAAATAAATTTGAAATCCACAAGCAAACTTCATGATCCACAAATAGTGATTGTGGATCGTATTCACACTCTTCTGTGGTAAAACAGTGTCAAAATGATTTGCAGAAAAATGTGAAGGGATCCAAAAATACACTGTGATCAACAAACAGAATTTGTCTTAGAACAATAGTTTGAAAATACAGACTGTTTGTTTTTGTTGTTATGAAACTGTAATTTGTAAAACAGCAAAACAGTAGCGTCAGAATCCTGAAAACAAATGCGAAACAATCCACCAATAGACTATGACCCACAGGCGCAAACAAGTCATTTTGAAACAGACATATTAAGGAGACTAGTCTATATAATGTGGATCTGTCTGTCTGTCACTGTTAACAGCGACTGCAGTCAGCAGGTTAGTTTACACACTTCACTAGAGTAACATAGGCTTCATGATCAAAGAAAGTTTTATATCACAACACTTCTGTCTATGTTCTCTCTCTCTCCCCCTGCGAGTTAATCGGAATAACCCTTTATTTAGATTTTACTTTTATAACGTGCCAATTATCTGCCCTTTGAATAGCAAAGCCATTGTGATCATGTGTTTATATAGGGCCCATAGAGTAATTTGTCATATGATAACAGAAAATAATAATTTGTGTGACTGAAATCTGCAACCTGCAATTTTGACTGTGGCAACTTTGCCAAATTTGCTGCACAGCCTGGGCCTGGACAGTTGCTGGGTATGTAATAACATTATCAGTGGCTGCCTCTCATGTTTTCTATTTCCTGGCTCACTGGTGAGGCCAACAGGAAACTAGTGCAAAAAAAACAGAATTATGTTATTAGTTACACTTAAGTTTTTTCAAGTCAAAATGTCTGAGGCGAAAAGCATTTATTGAAATTCAAACCTTTGTGATGTTTTTCCAGACAAGCAAACTAACAAAAGAGACAACAGCAGCTGTTGTGAGTTGTCTTGATTATAAAAAGACATTTCTTGTCAAAGTGTCCAAAACATTTATAGGAGATTGAAATTTCCATCATAGGGATCCTTTATCCACTATGTTGTCCATTATATTGTTTTGAACTACAAAATGCAAAGAATTACAGCACAGTTTTCATGTAACCAGTGATTGAAGAAGTATTCAGATCCTTTACTTAAGCTGCATTGCCTCACTGTAAAAATATTCCGTTACAAGTGAAAGTCTTGAATGGAAAATGTTCCTTAAGCGTGTGTACGTCAATAACATTAGAAAGATTTATCAAAGTAAAACTTCTCTCTATGCAGTACTTTTTATTACTGATGCAATAATGTGCCGCCAGCATTTCTATTAGTAGCAGGAATAGTAGGTCAAAGTGGAGCTCATTGTTACTACTTTACATACTGTTGGTGAGTTTAATCTATAACAATGCATCAAATTTTATAAGATGATCGCATGTTTTGAATGTAAAATCTTATTTAGTGATTATAACTGTCAGATAAATGTAATGGAGTAAAAATATTTCCCTGTAAAACATAGTGGAGTAGAAGCATCTGTTTTTTTTAATGCTGTAGAAGTAGAATAAAATGGAAATAAAGTACCTCAAATATGTAAGTGTCAGACTATGACTATGCATTTCACATGCTAAATTTGTATCAGTACAACATTTATGGAACTATGGAACAAATATGATACTTGTGCTCATTATTTCATCCCAGTGTGAAATGACACTGAGGGCCATTTCTCAGTTTTTTCAAATGTTGCTTGGCGGACCATCTTTTTGCACTACAACATATCTGACAGCAGGGCCTGTGGGAGGCATTAATAGTAAGATAAATTAATGTGTTAGTTTTTTTTCATATTTTAAATACTTATTTCAGCCTAATCCCCTCCCATAATCGTAACGTAATGAAGCACACCTGTCCTCGCAGCCAGACTATCAGTCACTCACAGTTTAAGAAGGGACTTGGAGAGGCTCTTAAAGGTGTTTTTCGGCAGCTCCCTTATCCTGTTGCTGGACAGATTCCTAAACACGCCGAAAGAGATAAAAAGGAGAAGGAAAAAAGAAAGTACAAGCTATTCAATGGACAAAAGAAAAACGAGAAACATGCAGATTCACTTACATTCATTATGTACTCCTTTACTACCAAAAACGGATAGTGGAAAGCATCCAGAACATACTCCTTAACCCAAAGCACAGATATTTCATGTTTAGACAAAATTTACAAAAATGTCATCATCTACATTATTTTCTTAATAAATAATAATAATAATAATAATAAATAACTAGCAGAACATCAAATTAATAAATACTGTCAAAAACTGTTGATTTTCTTTGCAAGGATTTATCAGAACATCAAAGATTAACTAAATAAATCTCAGCAGAACAAAACTATGTTTTCTAATACTGTTTCCACTGAATCTCTATCCATTACCTTCACTTTAAGACACTTTATTAGACTTTTATGTGAATACATTTTATATTCATTTCAAATTTGTTTATTGTGTCATTTCAATCATAACCATTTATTGTGTAGCTCACAGCTGGGAGTTTATTCATCCTAATAGTTGTTCTGTAAATCACTTATGGTCTCAGAACATTATACTAAATTTGTTGTTCGTTAAACAAACTTTTTTAATTGAACACAGATAAGTAAACATTAGAAGATCCATCAAAGGATCGACATAATCAACCATCAGCTCCAGGCTGAAACTTACCTAATCTGCCAATCCAAACATAATGTGGTCATATTGTAATAGTTATTGAAGAAATATTGTGAGCCAGCTGTCAGGTGCGAGGAAGAAGGTTTTTGGAGACTGATGAAGTTTTACACAGCAAGTTTAATGAGACTTGGCCAAGGAGAAACAGTGTCAGCGTCCAAAGTGTGAACACAAGGAATGCCAACACCAAACATTTTTTGGTCCCTTTTATGTTTCTGCTAGACCTGTCTTACCTTTCCTTGTTACATCAACAAAGCCCCTCAAGAAATATCCTCAACAATAGTATATTGCACTGAGTGTTCTAATTACAAGATTTTGGGGAATTGTTTCATTCTAACCAACCACTGATTGACAATAAATGGCAGTACTCTTAGTTTGATCAGTCTTTAAAAGTCATGTGTTCATTTCTTTTTAAAGAAATGGTTAGAGTTAACAATGATCTTTCAGTCGGTTAGAAAATAATTAAATTTTAATCAGGCTGCGAAAAATCCATCACCACCGGAGCATTTACATATTCTTAAAAAGACATTTCAGTCTCCACTGAAACCCAGTGATTAGTTACACTAACCACCTCGTATTATTATTTAATGTTAACCGATATAAAGTGAATTGATTATGACAACAAAATGATAAAGACACGAGCAAATTGGCTGTTACTCACAGTTCAGCCAGTTTCCCCAGAGACTGGAAGGTATTTTCAGGAAGGCTTCTGATTCTGTTGTCCATCAGTAATCTGAACAGAACAGAGGTGCTGTCAGAAACCTTGTGAAATTTCTTACCTTGTTGCAGTATCTAGAATATATTCGCTAACGATTCCCACACTGCCCCTTCCGTTATCAGTGACATAGTGCTGATTCAAACTGGAGTTTCTGTGTTCTATAAATTCTCTTGCCAATTTACACATTAACACTAATTAATAGATGCAGCCAAAAACTACAGAGCAACACGGGAGAAGACAGCAGATAAATGTCTTTCTCAGGGACATCTTAACTGTGTCAATGTGGACAAATAAGTGTGGCTCTTTCTGACCTTCTTGTCATAAGTGATGACTGATCCAACATGACAACTGAACACATTTTACAGACAGAGAGTGGTCGGTTTTCATCTGACTTTCTGTCTACTGTATCATGATCGGAAATGTCTCCAATAAAGAGACACACGCCATTTGTTTTGTTTTTTAATTAAAAACAGATAAGAGACATAAACAGAGAAGAACAGTGCATAACTCCTTGTTCTCTGATCCAACAGAGTGGTGAACAGAATACATAATTAAAGAACATGCCCTTAAGACTGTCTGACTAACTCACCCTAGTGAGTAATACTACTGTGACTTAAGATGGCAATGAAAAGAAGCTTGGATATCAAAGCTGATAGCTTATATTCATGTTTGGCAGTATATGTGTCTTTGTGTGACGGAAGCCAGCGAGGCTGTGCAGTGAGTAAACCTCACTCCCGACACCTTAAGAGACACACTGGCAACAGACGCTAGTGCCCAGTTTTAGCCTCCTCATCAGCGTGTCTGCCTCCCGTACCTGAGGTCGCCGGTTTAAGTCAGTTCTCGGGGGCAGCCGGTTACATTTGCATGTTATCAGTTGAATGACATAAGAGAGCAGTGTTTCCCACAGGATTTGAAGAGACTATGGTGTGTGGACCTTGGACCCTCTTGGGGGGTCTGGGGCTATGCCCCCTCGAAAGCATATTTTGTACATTTTAAAGTTAAATGCATTAATTTGGTGCATAATTAAGAGGCTATCTATGAAGAACTTTGCAAACAATGTTGAGCTATAGTAAACTATTTGATCTTAAACCCATTGTATAGCCATAAATGTTGATGAAACAGCAACAAAAGTCAACAGATTTATTTGATGTTTTTCCAGAAACCCTAAAACAAAGAAAAGCAAAATAGAATAAGTAACTTCCCTAACATTTTATTGTTGTTGTTTTTTTTTTTTACTTTTAATGGACACATGTAATATGTTTTATACTTTCTGTGAATGTAATCCAATTAATCTTATTTTCATACTCATATAACTTTTAGACACCTTATTCTGAAAACCAGGCTTTGTCACAAGTGTATCCTCGCACTAAATTGATCAAGTCCGACCCAATTTGATAAATTATGTTGTGTGTGGTTCTCGTATCGCGCAACAGAAGACTTCACAGCCTCTCTTCAGGTAGGACTCTCAAACTGTAACAATTTAGGCGCGGCTAGCTTAATTGGCTTCTCACAAACGAGTGACAGAAACAGACCGTTACGACTACGTTACCATAGTTACCACAAAAGAAAAGTGGTTGTCTCAAGTCGGATGCCAAAGTGTGTGAGCGTGCGAGCTTACAGCAGCACGTAGAAGTGCCCACAAAACACAACGTTAGAGGTCTGAAATGTTATTATGAGATATGTAAAATATTATAATATTATAATATATAGAGGAGACACGCCACTTTAAGAATCCTCAATACAACTTTATAGGGAAAGCCCATAATGAGAAAGATGGCGGTTGTCCCGCCCCTCCCGCTAGAAAGCCAATCGTCTTCTTTTAATTGCTGAAGCTGCAAACATATTTCAGTCAGTCGTGTGGTTCCACTGATGTAAGGGGTCTACTGCGCATGAGTCACTACCAGCACGCATGCACAGTAGAAGTATAACTCAGGTCTGGAAACATGCTTTTTAAACCTTATTTTGAGGCGAAGTCGTCAAACTATTTCAGCAATTTTACAAGAGACAGGAGCATCTACAGCTTGTTTCAGACAGAGGCTGAAATGAAGCCCTACATGAACGGCCAGTTTAAGATTTGGTTAATCAAAATTTGTTTATTATGACTTAGAATTTATTATCGGAGTTAGTGTGGCTCATGGTCCTAAAGATGCAATGGTAAAAGGGTTGCAAGTTTCTTTGAGGAAAAATGAATGAATGAATGAATTAAAGGGGCATTATGTTGTTTTCAGCAGCCACCAGCGGTGCAGTTTTAAGATCAGGCGTGTGCTTGTATGAAAAACTGCATATAGCCCCTTTAAGGAAGAACATGTTTTGTTCGTAAAGACAACATGGCATCATTTATGGCAGAAGCACAGTTACTGAATAAATGAATGATGTGGCTACATTTGCCATCGTCCTTCATCGCACTTAATTTAAAGTTTATCTTTTAGGAAACGTCAAAAACTCTCTCAATGAAATGGAAACAAGGCTTATGACTATGATAAAAATTATAAATGTTTCAAGCATTTGGCATTTTTAAAGATTTTAAACACTCACAGAACTTCAAGCTTGCTGCAGGTGTTCAAGATGGAGTGGTTGAGAGTTTGAATCTGGTTACCCTCAAGATCCCTGACAGAAGCAGAAATATGTGGCGTTAATGTAAATATGTAGTCCATTTCATTTTCATTGTTCATTCAAGTTGAACTTGAGATAGGCTAGTAAGAAAAACATAGTGACAGGCATTGTTTGCTCTGGAATTGTTAGCTCTGTTAGCAGTAATGGGAAATACTGCTAACAGACCGAAGCTACAAATAACACAAGTTTGTTATTAGACTCAGGCAGGAGTGCACTTGGTGACCAAATATAGTTGGTCAAGCTGACCGACCACGGTGACATCAGATCAGGACACTTCACCTCTCATGCAGTCAAGTGCACCCCTCACCTGATCCTTCCACTGTCAGCTATGCAACCCCTGTTACCTCTATCTACCAGCTTAATTTGTTTTTATGTACGCACACAAGCACAAACACGCACACACAAACACACGTCTGTGGTAAATTATTTGGAGTACAGACATCTACTGAATTACACACATGCACTACACACCTGCACACACACAAGTACACTGTCAGAGCAGACTCACAGCCAGTCCAAGGAAGGCATATGTTGACAGAAGCTCGGGTGAGGAAGATGCTGCAGCGCGGTGTCCACCATAGATCTGACAAGAGAAGGAAAACATGTTAAAACAAAACAGAGGTTAAGCGCCACACAGCAGGATTTCCCACCAGCTTGTGTACCTGGAAACAAAAGCTCTGTGACTTGTTTGAAAAAGAGAGAAACAACTGACAATGATAAATGACCGAGATAAAAAAGATACTGCAAAAGTGATTAATGTGTTGAAAAACAGGGAATTAAATTTTCAGTCGTGTATAAAAGACCTCTCTTGCACTGAAGTAAATAAATATCAATAGAAAGATAGATGCACAGAATGACATTTGAAAACTAATGAACATCCATCCATCTTTGTGGTCTGACTATAACGTTTATTTTCCTATCCTGATTCAGGTTAGCAATTATTCTCAAAGAGTAGGAATATGTTTTCTTTAGACTATATCTATTGATATAGTTTATGAAATATCATACATTTCTCATTTCAGAGAACTCGGACATTTGGGAATTTGAGATTTGATTTCAGTCAGCATAAAACAGAAGATTTTTAAGAAAAACAATGCAACTCACAGGTACATGAGAGACTGGAGCCCAAGGAAGGTATCCTGGGACAAGGTTAGCGGGTTATGATCCAACATCCTAGCACAAAAATAAAAAACCTCTTAAATGATGCAATCATATGACCGAACTTATGAAAAGAATAGATCAGCATTTTAGGGAATATGCTTGTTTGCATTTTTACCAAGAATTACATGAGAAGATCAATACCACTCATGTCTGTACGTTAAATTTGAAGCTACAGCCAGCAGGTGATTAGCTTAGCTTAGCTTAGCGATTCCCTTATGGACCTATTTCCCAAAATGTTAAGCTATTCCTTTAAAGCAGTACAGCTGATATGTCTAATGGAAGAAATCAGAGAGGATGAAATCAGAGAAGATTAAAGAAAAGTGAAGCATTTTATGACAATAACACCATGCACACATATGGTTTTGGGTTAGTTCTGGTTTTATTTTGGTAAATCCTACCTACTGTGTATCAGAATCAGAAATACTTTATTGATCCCCGAGGGGAAATTCTTTTGTCACAATTGCACACTTGTCAAAGGTATATGGATAAAGAGTATATAAATATAAGAGTATAAATATAAAATATAAAGACAAATATAAAGGATTGTGGGTATGTACAATATTTACATTATTAAGAGTTATTATGGTGATCCAAAAAGGACTGGTGAATAAATAGCAGCAGAGAAAATTGCTCATTAATTATTAAACAGATAATATTGCAAAAAAAAAAAAATAGATAATACGGTCCAGTTTAAAAACTAACTAAGTATCTGTGTGTCAGACACTTAGAGGGAGGAGTTATAAAGTTTGATGGCCACAGGCAGGAATGACTTCCTGTGGCGCTCAGTGGTGCATTTTGGGGGAATGAGTCTTGCACTGAAAGTGCTCCTGTGTTTGAGCAACACATCATGGAGTGGGTGTGAGACATTGTTCAAGATGACATGTAGTTTGGACAGCATTCTCCTCTCTGACACTACTGACAGAGAGTCCAGCTCCAGCTATGTTCACTTTGCTTCCTGTCTGTGTTTTTCCTATTGTTTGTATTATGTTTTTCCTTGTGTCATTTATTAATTAATTCCCCTAAAACAGGGTGGCTGTGGCTGTAGAGCGGGTTGCCCGTTAATCGGAAGGTCAGTCGAAGTGTCCTTGGGAGATTCTGAACCCTAAATTGCCCCTGGTGGCTGTTCCACCAGTGTATGAATGTGTGTGAATGTTAGAGTTTCTGTTTGAACACTTAGGCTCAGTGTGTGGATGGTGAATGCGATGTAGTGTAAAAGCGCTTTGAGTGGTTGAAAAGACTAGAAAGGCGCTATACAAATACGGAGCATTTACATTTGGTGTATTTTAACTTTTTTGTGGTGTAATGGGAATTTCATGAGAACATCTTTAAAACACTGCCATGTAACTAATCTCACTAGGGGCCTCCAGCCTCTTGGGTATGGGGTCAATGGAAGGTAAATGTGTGTGATGCTTTAACATATGTCCATGACTTTAAGTGGTTCATCACATGTACCTTGGACATGGGTGTCTTTCTATAGATCCAGATTGAGTGTCCCCTAGGGAACACTGAAAGACACCATGTTCCTTTGATGAGATAATACTCCGACCCTGAGACTAAGATAAAAGCTGCATGAGCTGTTACACTGCAGCTCACTCGGATGATACTCTCTGATGTGTATGTGTCCCCGTGAGTTCCTTCTGCAGAAGACTTGAATAAAATTCACAGAAAGACAAGTGTTTGCTTGAGCTGTTTATTTAAACACGCTTTTTCCCACCACAGTGGTTACTTGTTCTCCTGTGTTTCCTGTTTTACTTTGTTACTTACCTCTGCTCTCGTTTTTAGTTTCCATCTGTACCTTGTTAAATCACCTCTCTCTTGTGTATTTAATTCTGTGTCTTCCTATTGTTTAGCGTCAAACGTCTCAGCCTTTTTCCCAGTTCAAAAATAGTATAGTTCAAAATCTACCTATGACTTCCTTTTGGATTATCTAAATTATCTGATTATCTGATTATTGCCTGCTCCCCTTTTTGGAATTGCTTGCCTTGTGTTGGACTGCTCACCTGTTTTTGACCGTTGGCTCCCTCCACCCTCAGTAAGCTTGTTCAATGTTTTAATTATTAATAAACACACTAAAAATGAACCTTCTCTGCCTTGTAATCTGTGTTTGGGTCCAAAATCCTAGTTTCTCTGTGTCTGTGCTTGGCTCATTGTGACGCACATATCTTACCACAATATTCTCACTGGAGGCCTACTGTCCCATAAATAAACACTGATGCCATTTACTCCTGTTTCTTATCAGGTCTAGAGTTAAACGGGTCCTTTTAAGATTCTGTCGTATCTCATAATCTGTTATCCACCGCCAACAGAAAGGATTTAGATATGCAAAGTCGTTTCTGTTTTTAACGCTTTGTTTTTTGGTGATTACTTCTTCTCTGGCAGGGTGCTTAATGTCACTAGATGGACCTTACAATAATCATACAGAGCTGACTTCAGATATTTCTCAGCTATACTGTAATAGTAGCTCTACTCTGGTTGACATGTTTGGGGTTTCATTGAGGCATCAATGTAGCATCAAAGTGTCATTGTTGTTGGATGGGTTCCTTCACATTGGTAGAAAAAGCTGATGAGCTAAATGCAGAAGAGCTATAGCCTGATACAGGCCTAAAGCAACAGGCCTAAAGCAAAGGGAGTTTAAAACTCTAATCCACTTCTCATAGCTCTTGACCCAATGAGATGAATACTAATTAATTAATTCAAGGGGAAAATAAGCCTCACTGACTCCTTACAGCTGTACATAATTTCTGACTCGTTATGGGTTCAAATAGCTCTCTTTCCCAACTCTCCACCATACTGCTAACCCTGATAAAGGGAAATTGCTATCAGGAGGGACTCCAAAACCACAAATTAAAACCTAAAAACAATGTCCAGATGCTTACAAGGACTCCCATGTATGGATAAAACAGACATTTGTGTATCAGACTATATAACCAGGCGAAAAAGAGTCTGGCAACCCCATAAAGACAAATAATCACTGTCAGAACTACCATGTGTGTCTTTGAATGTGCTCTATTATTTTTCCACAGTCACACAGTGTCCTTCCATCTACATTCATGTATAACCTCAGGAGAGTGCACAAGACAATAACTTCCTGACACACAGACACACACACACAAACACACACACACACACACACACAGACAAACATACATACATGCATGCATGTGTAGGTGCTGCGTGTGTGTGTAACTCACAGCCACTCTAACTGATGGAGATCCCTGAACACACCAGGACTCAGGGAGGATATCAAGTTCTCACTGAGAAACCTGGGAGAGAGAGAAAGAAAGAAAGAAAGAGGGGATAGATGAAAATATATCTATACATCTACATCTAATGTAATTTCTGACTACCAAAGATCCATACAGTGCACAAAAACAAACCTATAGTTCTAATGTTTTAAAGTTATATACTAAACACAATAGAGCTTAAACGGCTTTTTTCATAAATCAACTAATCTTTTCAGTCAGAATTCAAGCAATAGTAGTGAACAAAATGCTAAACATTCTCATTTCTCAAATGTGAAGATTTGCTACTTTGTCATACCTCAGAGTAAACTGATCATCTTTGTTGCTACATCTAGTATTTCATCAGTAAAACTTCCTCAACAGCTATGCTTTCAAATCTTTACATACTTACTCAAACAACCTGGTATTGCACTGGCATTTGTAGACATCACACGTAGATTTTAGTTATCTTTGCATGGCATCTCGCATTTGCCCACTGTCACAGGGACAGTTTGGAGTCAAAACATACAGTAAAAAACTTTTTGGAATACAGATCACAATTTCTGTAGGTTGTATCCAAATAACCAAGACCTACTATTTAACATAATATTTAACATTATCAATATCTATTCCGGCCAGGTTTTATATACTTTTTACTTTTAAATCACTCTGTGAAGCTCCTTGAATTCCGTCTCTTCTATTGAGCATGAGTTGATAAATACAACAAACACAACCCAGCAATTGATTGCTTCCTGCCCATTCTTCATTTGACATGTGACAAGTAGGCTCATCAGAGATATGAGAAGAAAAAAAGTGGACTGATGGAAAAAAAATCCACATAGTTATTTCAGGAGACATAAACAACATAAATGGAGCGAGAGGGGTACTTACAACCTCTTTAAGTTGTGAAGGCCGCTGAAGGCATGTTTAGATATGAACTGGAGGCTGTTGTTTTGCAGAAACCTGGGAATAGAAAAAATAATTAATGTGAGTTGTGTAGGTTAACTCCCTTTCTCATGCATATAAACATATTTCACACATACACACACATAAAAGTGATTAATACCCTGTTGTTAGACTAATATCATCATTATCCGCTAGACAATCATTTCTTTCCCTTTTCACACTAAGATTGACAGGATAATACAGTCATTCGCATATGCACCACATGAACACACAGAGAACAGTCAACACGCAGAGGACAATCCTTTGCTCAGATGCAAATTTTGACATTTTTGAAACACAAGAATAACACGCCAACAATTAGTGACCTTAGATCCGTGATTAAAGTTTAGACAATTTTAGTAACATTCCATGAACTTTTCCGACTTTTAAGTGAAAATGTTTGCCTTGCTGTTGTTATTCTGGATTCTGCAGACAGACTTAATGACACACAGATTTGATGAAAATGATCATTTTCTACTTCATTGCACACTTTGCTACTAAACAACACACACATGCAGCCCAAGAGCCCATGGACAAAACCTAGCAAAAATAGAAGTGCTGGACTAGAGCTTTAATTGTTTGATCAATTTATAGTTTACCATTTGAACATTACTAAACAAAGAGATATTACATGAGTCACACTTAAGTACGGTTGACATGGTACAGGCCCTGCGATGGACTGGCGACCTGTCCAGGGTGTACCCCGCCTTTTGCCTGATGTCAGCTGGGATTGGCTCCAGCCCCACGTGACCCTGTACGCATGGTACAGTATGTACGGATGACGACAGACAATTTAACATACTGTGTGGATAATTTTACAGTTTAAACTAAGCATGAACAAAATATTGTATTTTGTCATCTGAATCCATACAGAATAATGTCAGATATGAAAGAATGATTGCACAGCAAGGTGAACAATATAACAGACTTTTGCAATACAGTTCCGTTTTAGTTTGTCAGAGTTGTCATGATGATTTATGGGCTTTTCACTGGGTGTTTTGAAAGGCAACATGATGCAACTTACAGAGGTAAAAATGCACCAGAGATAATTAAGAGGTAATAATAACAAGATAAAATCTGCATTAGCACAGAGCTTCTGTGGCTTTTATATAGTTGTCGTCACAACACATGTACATTTATGGGATGTAGTCTTTAAATGATTATTTTAGCATTGCACGTACACCAGAAAGACTAGTAACTTGTCACTACATCTCCCTTATTATCGGTTAACAGCATGACATTATCAATAAGACTTATGAGCAATGTTTGAATGAGCCTTTTATATTTGCTTAGACTGCTGTCAAATCTGTCTCACATAAGCAATGCAAAATAGCATAACTTGAGAAATGCAGTGATGTATACAAGAAGAACACACAAACAAACAAATCTATTTTTCAAAAGACATAAATGTCTGACCGGCAGAGATTTACTGCATCACATGTCTCGCACGAAGAATCAATCCCATCAACACGTCAGTTCTGCAATTATCATATTTTAAAAACAACTATAAAGCTAGATTATATTGATGTGGCAGCACAATATACATTTTCTTGTGTGGGCTCATTTTGATCTCAGTGATCCATTTGTCTACCTGGACGAGCAAGAAAAGCATAGTTTAATGGCAATACACTGTGTCCACTGGGTTTGGATCGATGAAGAAAATGTCTTGAAATAACTAAATACCAAATTAATTCACCCAAAAAGGTGAAGTATTAGTATGTGTTCTAACCTGCCGTACAGTATTAATTTATGTTTCCTTGAATAATATTAATTTTGATGATTATTGGCACTTCTTATATATATATATATACAGAGATAGATAGAGAGAGAGAGAGAGAGAGAGAGAGAGAGAGAGAAAGAGCAAGGATGAAGGCTGTAAACACCTTGTTTTTCACTTTTATTCACCTTAAAGACTGAAGTTGGAGCAATATACCGAAAACCTTGAAAGACTTGAAAAAAAGTACTTAATAAAACCACCACATTCATTTTGTTTTTCTGGCGTATTAACATGAATGTGAATTTAAAGTGCTTAATTTCTATTTGTCATTTTATCTATATACTGTATTAGCCTGTCCTTCTGTTTCAGTATTTGCTAAATAGTTCTGCTTCTTGTTCAAACATTAATTTTCTTTACTGTTGTTTTCTTAGTTTTCTTCTGAATGCTTAAAATCTAACAGTCATTCTTGAAGCACTACTTCTGAAACCATTAACACTTTCAGCCAAATCATTTATATCATTTAAGTGTGCCAAACGGAACGTAAGGTTCTCTGCTTCACCCTCAGTTTATAGTTCAGTTACACACTTCTATCAAATCTGTAAACACTACTATATTTTGGCAAGTGGCATTCCACATTGACACATGTGAAAACACTTATTTGATTTTTAGTTCACTCTGATATCAATCATAGCTTAAGCACTATACATAAATAGACCACAGGTCACAGTTTTTCTGAATTCTTGAACATTAACAGTCATTCTTGAAGCACTATGTCTGAAACCATTAACAAATCATTTACCAGGTGTGCCAAACTGAATGCAGGTTCTCTGCTTAATACTTAACAGTTTGTAATTTTATCACACTCTTTTTGCAAAACTTCAAACACAACTCACTGCTTTACACTCAGTTTACAATTCAATAACACACTTCTATCAAAACTGTAAACATTACTATATTTTGCTAGACTATTTTGACAATTGGCATTTCACATTGACACATGTGAAAACACTTTTGGCTTTTAGTTAACACACCAATCAGAGCTTAAGCACTTAGGCTGCAGGTTAACAGTGGAGGCATTTTATATTTGGACAGAGAGTAAGAGGGGTGAGAATAAGAGGAGGAAGAGTAGGAAGAGGAGGTGAAGAAAGAAGAGGAGAATGAGGATTTGAAGAAGTAAAAGGAGGAGGAAGCCGAGGTGAAGTAGGATGGGGGAGACGGAGAGTACAAAGAAGAGGAAGGAGAGTCAGGAACGTAATAAATAAATTGTCAACCATGGGATGAGTTTGAGGGAGGCTGGGCAACGGATTCAACCCAGTCTGAGCCTCTGTTGCAGGTATCATCTGGTTATTTTGAAATGAGAACTGGTGAGCAACTTTTTGCTGTACAGCACTGGTTCTGGTTCAGTAATATGTACTGTAATGACAAGGATCTGTCACCACTGTAAAACCTGGTATCTGGTGGAACAGGTCGCCTGTTCACCCCAGAGTTGGAGATCCACAGTGTAAATATCGTATTTGCAAATAACTGCATCACACTCCGAAAACTACTCTACCACATATTGGCAGATAACACACATGTTCCAAAACATCAACAGAGTGAGTCTCCCTGCATCAGATGAAGCCGCTGAGTCCCTTTAAAAATAAACTCAATTCATGTAAAACAGGTGAGGAACACACATCCATACTTTACACATTTGGGCACCTGTGTGTATGGGAGTTTTACTGTACTACATGCATGACAAAAGGTTATTGCAAACTGCTATACACACAGAAAATGCAAAAACCACAAGTGTTTTTCATTTTTACTATCAGTATGTAGTTGCTGCTTCGTGTGCTTGCTCAAAGATGTTTTGTGTGTGCTGTACTGATGCGAAAACACAATTTTTAAAATACTTTAAAGAGTTTTGTAAGAAGTGTTTGCTTTTGCAAGAGATGTGTAATGTTTTGCTTTTTTGGCGTAAGGTTTTGTAATTAGTGTGTAGAGTTTTGCAAAAATAGCCTATAGTTTCAAACAACTGACCCTGAGCAATCAGAAAAAACTGTAAGTCATCATCCATAAAATATCTGGAGAACTAGCCATAGATATACACACTGAGTGTAGAAACATTTGAATGATGACTAAACCAACCAAAAAGTGTATACTGTGAGAATTTGGGAAGCAGCATAAAAATACTCACAGTCTCTCTAGGGAAGAGTATTCTGAGAAAACAAAATCAGACAACACTCGGATCTGATTGCTCCTCAGCGACCTACAACAGAACCCATAAAATGCCACAGTTAGAAAAACATTTCACATTAACAGAGTGCAGATACACTTAGATAAAGACAAAGAGAAGGAGAAAGGACAAAAGGTCTGAAGCATTATGTACACTGAACAGTGATAAAAAAGCTTAACTACTGCTATTTTTTGAGAAAGGGCTTTTAAAGAGTTCCCGGAGTCAGATTTCAATAAAGATAGAACCACCATCTGTCAGAGTGGGCATAGTAAAGACTTGAAAACTTGAAAAGGTCCAATGTCTTATTATCTGAAAAGGTTACCAGGACAGGAACAGAAAAATTGGCCTGGCATAAACTTAATTACACCCCAACCATCCTCGCACACACAAGGCTGGAATTAGACATTTCAGAAGGTCTTAGCAAAAAAAAAAGTACAGTTACAGTTTAAGTAAACCATCTTTGTTTGAATATCTAATATGACTGGATTTATTTGTCTGTTACACCACAGCAGGTCACACCATTAGCAGCACAAATCAAAAAGATGAGCTCTATAATGCATTTTACACACTCACCCACAAACAGCATAATGGATATGATGAACAATAAAACACACTAGTAATAAAATCTAAAGCATCTTTCATGATGCACAACGCAGATAAAGAGGGCACCAAATACATCAGCAATATCCTTCATATCTAACAATGGGCTTTTATATTCAGACACCTATAAGTGCAAAAACATCAACTCCTGTTCTTTAACAGACTCAGACAGACTTTAACAGACAATAATTCCTCAAATTAAATACTACAAAGGGCGTGATAAAAGATAAAACTGAAGAGAAAAAGGAGATGAGTAGATAACAGGTTTTTTCAATTGCTAACAAGCATTTACCTAAACTTAAGATACTTTGTCGAAACTCTCAACACAGCAACACATGTACCTCACAGAAATTAGCCAAATAGTACATTTTCTGCTCTAAACCACATTTTGTTCTTTAAACATCAACTCTACATTTCAAAATGTAAAATAACATTGTCTATACTATATTCACAAACTCTATCAAAACACAACAAACCTGACTCAAATCAAATCATTCTGTCTACACACCAGCACGTTTTCTTTCCAAGAGGACCAACCAAGGCTCAACCAATCATAGCATAACGACTTTGTAAATACAAACATTTGATGTCATTACAAAGACTGCATTAATTTTCATGTTTCAGCTCTACCTGCATACAGTAGACGGTGTGAAATCCATTGTTTTTTGTAATTCAGTTTCTTTTTTCTGTAAACCACCCTACATTTTTGGTTTGAGGGGTTGAACGTGTGCATTTTTGGCAACAAACTATGTGGAACTGAATGAGTCATCTTTACTTTATAAAATGAAGTATAGGGAAAAAAATGTAGGTGACAGAATTACAGAAGTAAAAGCTTTATTAGCAACATGAAATTGCAGCCAGGGATCAACATGTATAAAAATACTGTCAAATACGGTTACATTCCTTTTGACTTTGCCATCCCTGCAAACAAAGCAATCTCAGTCCATTATGTAACATAATGGAAAAACAAACTACCACATGCCATCAGAACAGGGGTGCTCCACTCTAACCTCAAGAAGCTCATGAAAACTCATCCCTTCCGAGAACATCTTTTATAACATCACTAACCCCTAACCTCTGCACTTGCTGTGCTCTCCTCCTTATTATCTTATATTGATTGCACTCAAATGTAAGTCACCTTGGATAAACGTGGCCGCCAAATGAGTAAATGTAAATACACAATTACACTGAAACAAAAAATGCGCAGAAGAGAAAAAAAACAAAAAGTCTTGTCCTGTTCTAATTCATATTATCTTCAGCCTTTGGCCACATGTTCTCATCCACATAACATCTAATGTCGTCTCTCGATATGCACCTGGATAGAAACACTTACTGATTCAGCTACCGCTCCCTGGCCCTCTTCCTCTCCCTGGCCCAACTATTCTTCTCCCTTGTTCAGACATTATTCTTTCTTTCCCTCCTCTTCTGTGTTGTTCGATATCCACACTGGATAAACTCAACTCCAGAAAGTCCCCTTTTTGCTGCATTGTGTATGTAATTGAAAGAACTTCCACACCTGTTTATGTCTCTGGTTGAGACCGGAACTAGCTGTGTCTGATCTGTTTTACCCACATTCAAATAAATGAGCTATTTCTCAATGTTTCAATGATTAGTTCATTCAGAATTCCTCATCAGCTGTTTCAGTATAGATATTGAGCTGCTATTGTAGCAAAAGTAGAGACTTTATGCATAATTTAAGGTTTTGAAAATTATGTCTTCATTTCTGACATTTGTAAATAACCCAAAAAAGATCCATAGTTTTGGTATTGGGTAAGCTTGTACTTAAACTGGGTTAATTGACTGCATATTCTGTGGAAACAATATGAATTGTGTTAATGGTATGAAATGAACAGGCAGTTGTTGGGCTGATTTTGTTTAGATTAGACAAAATGATGTTAGTGGTTCTAAAAAACGGTATTAAAACAAACCTGGGAAAAAACAACTAGCAGAAACTAAATCAAAATTTTGTTTTAAACAAATTAAAATTTTCAGACAAAACTGTAATGATACTGGAAGCAGAGAATGTAATATAAAGACGGAGAGATCTCCTGCTTCACAGAAACAACATTTTGAATGGGAAAGAAATACAGATAGTTTAAGTGATTTACAATCTTTCAACATCATTATCATCATCTCACCATCTTCACCATGTCTTCTCAGGTGGGGACATCATATTTCAACTGCCCTTATGTCTATTATTTTGACATTTGCGGCTGTAAGTTGGATAAATATACAGTTTTTACAAATCAGATTGGCGAATTATATAAATGTCACTGTCAATTGTTTTCTTTTGAAGAAAACTAAGATAGCAGTAGCTGCTGTTGTGTAAAAGGCAAAGTGCTAATCATTTGCTAAACTGTTAACATTCAACACAATCACCTTCACTAACAGACTGAAAAGGGAGCCCTGCTGAACATCAGGTTTCAAAGAGGAGTTACAGTTTTTCACAATTGTTAAGACACATTTCTTGAAACCTTCATGCATTTTGTTGAAACTTTAAACACAAAAGCCAATCTTTAAACTATATTCACAAAACCCCTGACTCTTCTGGCAAAATCAAACAATCAAAGCCTCAAAACCATGTAATCTGTGCTCAAAATCAAACAATGCTTTCAAAACATAAACACAGCCAGTCAATATGTAAAACGCTACAGAGCATTCTTTAGACACTACATCAAAAAATTGAGAACACAGAGTCCAGGGCATGTAGTTAGAATTTTTTTTTCCATAAAAGGAAACATATTTTCCAATTTAAAAAAGTATAGTAATTACAACTTAGTACAGTAAATATATAGTATACTGTAAGTACTGCAAGTAATACAGTATTGAATATCTCTATTTTCAGCATTTGCATAAAAATACAGTAAGCCCAAAGAACAAAAAACTCTAAATGAAAAGCACATTACACTCAAAATGTTGTGCAGCCGCAGAATCAAACTGAATGCGAGATTCATTCTGCCTCAGCATAATGTCTGTGTGCTGGGTTCGGCCAGAGGACTTGGTCCACATCACATGCAACCTTGTCCCTTACCAAGCAAAGGAGGAAAAGGCTCTGGTGTGCTGGATGCAGCCTTATGCCGCATTCAGACCAAGCGCGAATTTTCGCCTCGCAACGCTTTCCTCACGTGAGTACATTCGCTGCAAGTGTTTACACACAACGCGAGAAGGCGATTTTAACGCGATAAGGTGAATAAACACAACTTGCCATTACTACAACTGTATGAACCCAAAGTAAACATTTTGCTGTGATTAAATAGCAATAAACGGATAAACTGATGCCGAAATAACTACAACATGATGCAGATTTGTTAAACATATGAATTCATGCTTTGTCAGGTCTGCCAGCAAGACAGCAGGACAACATCTTCTAAAATGTTTGTTTTCTGAATGGTGTTTGGATCGATCAGGGCTATGCTATGGTAACTTGGTCACAGTAAAGTACAATGATAGCTGGAATAAAGTTACAGACACATGTTTTCCTAACTCACCAGGTAGTTCAACCTCCTTGCTTTCTTTTCTCCAAGTAATGTCCAGTTTTGTCTGGTTTTTATATAAATATGAAGTCGTAGTCAGACAGAGCTAACGACGCTAACAACAACACTGGAACCGGATGTGCACGGAAGCTAGATGCTGAGAAGCTCCAGTGAAGATAAATCAACATTAATATCCCAAAAACTAAAGTAAAAAGCTAATTTAATAAAAGCAATTAACTCCGAGCTCCTCCCGCGAGTAAACAGCGTAGTTGTCAGAGCAGAATCCGACCGACTACGATTGTTTATTTGTCCAATGGTTGCAGCGCTGCTCCCTGCTCCTCTCCCCCAAGTTTAGTAGCTTTCAGCCGGTCTGCGGATTTTCAATCCCCCGCTCTGCCTGGCCCTCTCCACACAACAGTCTGAAGCCTCGGTGACGTTCGGACAATCTCAACACTGATAGGCTATCGCGACTCAGCGTCATGCGACTTCTTCGCTTGAGTTGAAAATATTCAACTCACGCGAATTCCTTCGCGTCGCCGGCCCCTTACTTACACACAAAATCTCAGTTTTAACTCTACTATGCCAACATTAGATAGAGAGCAACGGGAGTATGAGGGAGAGGCAGTGGATAAGTTGAAGGAGGAAGAATTAGAGGAAGAGGAAGAAGATGAGTTGGAACAGGACGAGACCAAAGAAGAGAAGGAAGGAGAGCAGTCTCTGATGAGATCAGGGACACACTAATTGATCATGTGATCAACCACGGGTTGACCATGAGAGAAGCTGGACTGAGTCCAGCCCAACTTGAGTCGCTTTACAGTGGCGTCCATAATTCGAACCTTCAGAAATGAGAACAGGTATGCTACAATCTAATCACTATTTCAGCATTACATCAACATTGTACTATAAAATATGTATTACTGCATAGTATTGCAAAACATTTGTAGGTCTGAGCCATCCATT